TTTTGTCCGCGCATATTCATTGACGATCCTGTCTCCTCCTGGTTTGTTCTTTAGAACATTTTCAATCATCTAAAGTGATGGTAAAAATATAAATCGATACGTTGCAAAAACACTGTACACAAGACAATTACAAATCCTATTTTATTCCATAAAAAAGAGATAGTATTAAAAGAACTATAATAGTTATTAGTGGAATAGTAAGTTATGTTAAAAAGCACAAACAAAACTATAAGAACTTAAATTTTTTGGGAAGTCCAGAGCCTTCTATGCTAAGGATCTGGACTAAAATGTGCAGAGATATGCTGAAGGAAAAAAACACAGAAAGTGGTTTTAAGAGAGCAATTTATATAATGTATTCAAATTTTGTAAAAACTCTATGGAAGTCTGCACAGTAATCTGCATAGCTTACTTGGGCAAGAGAGGTGTCTTCAGCTCTATGTCTTGTTACAGGACTGTGTTGCAATATAATGGTGTCATCGGAGTCCACTTCAGTTTCTCCACTGGAGCTGGTGAAGGAGCTGCTTGCTGCACAGCTTAGCTGATCCATAGGATTATCTAAACATTTTGTTGGTAGAATTAACAGTAGTCAACACTAAAATTGAGAAAATGGTTCTCTCCCAAAAAACTTTTTTTATATATAAATTAAGGTCACCTGATGAGCTCTTCTCACAAGAAACAGTATGATACAAACATAGATAACTCATGCACATTTATCTGTGTTCATTGTGATGAACCACTGAAACACTAGAAATAGGCCAAACCGTGAATGGTCTGTGATGTAAGATGTTTCCACATGTTGTGTGAAATGCTACAAAGGTGAACGCTTTTATGATCTCATCCTAGATTGGTGATATCAAATGGACATCAACATGTCTATACTGATCTGGAAAGACATTTCTATCCCTATTGGTCAAACCCATAAGGATGACCAAAAATAGTTCACAAAAATAAACAAATGACACTTTGCAACACCTTACCTTCTGGATGGAGATCTTGTGCTTCACAAATTTCCAGCACACCAAGGTTTGGACTTTTCAAAAGGAGCTCAAAAACCTCCTCATCCACTTCAGTCTTAGAATCATCAGAAACTTTTAAGTACAAGGTTGGGATGCTGAACTTTTTTGCAGCTATGAACATAGCAAATTATTTATTTATTATATATTTGAACATATGTAAATAACAATTAAAAGACATTATAAATTAAAATTAAGTAAAACAGAATAATAAATCAGAAAAGTTGGTAAAGCACCCATTATGGCAACATTCCCAAAACGTTTTTGATAAACACAATATATGAAAATGTTGGAAACTTGTTTTGTTTGCACTCACCACATTCCAAAAATGAACTGTAAGTCAGTTGGCCTTCAAAACAGATGTATTTCTGTCGATCTCTATGTTTGACACGCACAGCTTGCATCCTGCATTATGTAAAATATGATATTTTTCAATAACAAATTATTATATTATTCACTTTGATAACATACTTATCGAAGGGAATAAAAAAAATTAAGATAAGAGGTTGAAACTATCATGGGGAAGAAGCACTTGGTGGCTAACAAATATCCTTAATGGGCTCTTAATGAGCTAGGCGCTCTTGAATTTAGCCAATCAACACAACTAAAACGAAAACAAAACCACATCAGTTCCATACAACTCGATGCAAACGGGGTTTATGGACTAAATAGTCAATCACAATGTTTTACTGACAACTTACAGTTTGCATACAAAGCACAACTTTAATTATATATTTTTAATTGCTGCTCTACGTTCAAGAGAAGTTACTAGCATAGCCCTCCCGCGCCATTTTCTGGGCGGGACACATGCTAGCAGAGCTAGCTTCGATTGTACAGCTAGCTCCTCTTTTAAACTCCGTTCCTTAGCTTAAAATAGCAACAGCCTTGACTTATGCAAATAAAAAAATGGACGTAGCATTGTACAACACTGATGTTTTTTTTCTGCTTACATTGTTGTAAACGGCTACATTAAGTTAGCTGAAGCACACATGCTAACTAGTTAGCCAACCATGTTAATTCCTCGCTGCACCCCTCCTTCCCCCACGACCACACAGCAGCACGTCATCTTTCCGCTAGAGATAATTAGTGTTAATAATAATAAAAAACAAATAAAACCCCACATGAAATATGTTTACAACCCATTTGGGCACTTACCTGGCACAAAGCAGACCGTCGCCTCCAGTCCAATGCGGGAAAACAAAATGGTGGAAGAAACGAAACTTAACGAACTTCAGTGGGCGTTTTTCTTGTTTTACTCCGATATGATTTACTCTGTTTTTTTCCTCCGATTCTATTGACCAATTGACACGATTTTACTCTATAATGTATAAACATGACTCTTTTAGATGAAAATAATGTTAACTCCGAAAAAATTACTCTTCTATTTTTCCTGTGTA